AATTTCTTACTCTTTTATGGAGATTAGGCAGTAAATACAGAGTGTAGAAGGAACAGAGTCAGGAAAGAGTCATGGAGGAGTTGTTATTAGTGCAACTTTAAGGATTTAAATGTTTCAGCACAAGAATGGAAAGAGTGAGTAAGAAGCTGACCTTAATGCTGGTCTCAGTTGATACTATGGAGATACACAAAATGTCTTCTTTCCACTGATTAAAAAAATGAAAATCCTATGTATCCCCAACTGGTAAGAAAATGTGAGAAATATTCTTCTGTGTCACAGTAAGATCTACGGAAAGAGTGTCCTGAATAAGCACACAACAGGTAGGTATGGTTCTTCACTGGCCTGTAGCCTGTTTGAATTAATGTTTTTTGAACCATTATGCATCCTAAATTAGCTGAACAATCAATTAAAAAATGTCATTGTGATTCACTTCATTAGTAAAATAACACTATGCAGCAGGAGTTACAAAGCACATTCTGCCAGTGTGCTCAGAATGCCCAGAGTCTAAATAAGTCTTCGGTAAGTAATTTCTCCCCTGTACCATTTCACAGTAAGAATTTTCTTTTTTAAAAAAAAAAAATAAATTATTAGAGTAGATACACACTGACTTTTGTACTTTGTTGCCATATGTTCAAGGGCCAACATGAAAACGGCTGTGAAATTAGCAGCTCCTACAACTATAGACTTGTGGCTTGGCTTATTATGATTTCATGGAACTGCAAAGTTTTTTCCAGCAATGTCTCTCTTTGTATTCATTGATTATGGTTTCCTTTGAGGTACCTCCACATTTTTGTGTCCATTCCTCTACTGTCTAGTCTTTCTTTCCATGTATTTACTTAGCTGTGGTCTCTGACATTTTTTCCTTATCCTGAAAATTTACTTCTCGCCCTCGCCAAGTACATTTTTGTGTTTCAAAGCAAGTTCAGGTGGTGTCTAAGTTCCAGAATGTATAAATTGTGGAGCTCTTTCTTTTGCTTTCTGGTTTCTAGCAAAGACCAGTCCTGTCTTTCTGACACTGTTGAGAAAACAACAGCAGCAAAGAGCTGTGCCACTTTCCACGTTTATTTCCTGAACTATTTGGGAGTTTGTATAGTGCTACAGAAGTACTGAAAGGCCTCAACAAAAACGTGATTCCAGAACTGAAGAGCACATAAGTGATTGTGTCAGAAGTCTATTAAGTAATGTCAAAACATGTAACAGAAGCTGTAAGGTGACAGTACCATGAAAACTAATGTAAAAGCAGTGGCTAAAACCTTGATTCTGTTAGAAGTGTATCATCCCTGGCTACAATGAAGGCTGAAGTTCCCTTTTAAGGAGAACAGCATCACTGAAGCAATGCGCTCGTAAAAATGCTAACGTGGTCCTTAAAATTATTCTAAACAGATACTTTTAGATAAGATATGGAAGCTGTTTTGCCTAACAGTGGTGAGGCTTTATCTAGAGAACTGATACAGTTCTGTTTACAAGAAAAGAACTAAATTACTTTAGCTTATTTAGGTGAGCAGAGACAAACTTTAGAGAGACTATGCGTGCTGCCTGAAATGTACGTTCTTATGAGGACAGACATAAAGGAGAAGATAACTATTCAACCAGACAGCAGTAGATTATGGGTGAATGTAAAAACAGGACAAGCTGCAGGCCAGCACAGATTCCCCAGCCAGCACAACGGGCAGATTCTGCAACTACATTGGCAGGACCAAACCCAGAGTACTGCTAGGACGAAGCTGGTAAGTTTACAAGGGTCATTGTAAAACATAATGCTGCAGCAGCAGATGGAATTGCAGCCCTGATTTAGAAAATGGGACAATAGGATGTCTTCCAAAAGCTTTTTTTTTTGTTGTTGTTCCATATGTAAATTTTGCTCTCAGAAGCTCCAAATACAAGGTCTCTGCACATCCCTTCTAGTCTTGTCCCCACTTTGTGTAGAAATCCTCCAGTGTTTGAGGGGTGGTGAAACAAAGCACAAAAGCATTTGAGGGGGAAAAAATTCCACTGATAAGAAACAAAGAATAGCATCAACAATTCCTAAATGGAGGAGTGAAATAAAAGAGAGATTTTCCTAATTCTGTAAGCCAGTGGGAAAAAAGGATACTCAGTATATCACATAACTTTTCAGTGTTTTGAAGATTTAGAATTTCCTGAATAAATAGATTATTTCTGTGGTTTACAGTTCAGTCCAGGTCTGCTGACATGAAAGACAATGTTTTCATGGATGTCAGCAACACAGGAACAGGATGGCTTTCTAAGTGAATTATGCACCTAATGAATCAAGTGGTTTTTCCCTATCATTTATTATTTATTTTCTGGATTTTAAGCCAGATGCAATATTTCATGCAAAAATAGGATTTCTTCTCCTGTGATAAATGCCTCACATCTAAACCCCAAAGTTTTCATGAAAAGATTTGTAGTTTTGCTTTTAATCTTCAAGGTTTTCATGGAGAACAAAGACCTTGAATTCCCTCTTTGGTTTTCCCTATCCTTTTCTTTTCGTCACTGAACATATTGCCAGAAATTTACTCAGGATCCTTCATCACAAAACTAAAATTCCCCTCATCCCCATTTTCCTCCTATATCTATTTATATGAAATAGGTTATGTTATACGGAGTGCATTAGAGTTCCACAAAAGAACACATACATTTCCTGTCTCTAGTTTTTGTACAAATGGAGTGTCATCATCATCATTCTTCAAGTGAGCTTGTAGAGCTCCACTGCTTGTTGTGAGACACAGAAGTCTCCTCATATAATGTCAATAACTTCAAAGTAAAACAAAGTTTAAAAAAAAAGGCCTAAAGTGTGCTGATGCCCAAGGTTTCCTCTGAAGACCTCAGAATACTTGTGTAACTCTACTGCAGAAAATATTTTCTGGGATTTCTTCAGACTTGAAAAATATTTTTTGTGTGTCAGGTACACCTACACACATAATTTCCTCCTCTTGATTTTGAAATGTTCACTATGAATGGTGATACTATGAAGGACATCCTCTCAGACTCTCAGTCACCTAAACACTCATTACCCAAGAAAAAGCATGTCAATTATCAACGAGTAGCAAAGAGATACAGTCATTAGCATGGACATACATATATTTTATTAAATTGCTAAATTAGGCCTTCACTTACTTCTACCTGGACCACTGCATGCTGATAATGAGGAAGCTTAACAGCTATTTGAAGACCTAGACTTAAAAACAACCCTGGTACAGTGGAGTTTCCTTGAAACTAAGAAGCTGTGCTTGGAAATTTTGTTCAGGCTTATCTCTGCTAAGGGTCCTGGGGGCCAGTATCCATCAGGAATAGATCTCTGCAGAAGCAGGATAGCTGGGACACTGCTGCCATAGCTGTACCACTCTGAAATGGTTTCCTTTCTCATCCCAAAAGAAAAATATGCTCACAGAAGAGTGCATGATCAAAGACACTAATCAAGAACTACTACAGAGGATATTTCTGGCCTGCTTCCCCCTGCCAGAGAGCAGTGGCTCCTATACTCCTATATTCCTAGAGTATTTGTTTCAAGCAGCACCAATATTTTAACCTTCTACCCATCTAAGGATTAATAAGCACCCTGGAAGCAGTATTTGTTTTTTGAAAAATGGTAAACCTTTGCAATATCTATAATAGCCTAAAGGCTGCAAGTAGGGCAGTAAAGTTCTGTATACACATTCAAAGGAATAAAGACTATGTTCACACAACAGTAATAAATAAGGGCCAAAGGGGAAGGAATATCTGAAAACCATAGGAAATATCTTTTAGAAGGTATTAATTATTTAAATTGGTTTTAAATTCTTTTGAAGAGATGCTTTTTCAAACCAGTGTTCTCAGTAGGTTCCATTACTGCTGGATTAATGGCCCGTTTTACTTGGAACGATCTGTATTTCGTACATGGGAATTTTACAAGACTGACAGCACTTCCCATGTGAATGGGCAGAAGGACAGAACACTGTTTTTTGCTATGATCACGGTCACCTCAGCTACGGATGCTACTGACTTAGTTCTCTAAACTACAGGTTAAGGAGATGGAAGCCCTACATCACAGAAGCTGTGCTACCGTACAGCAATGTTTCCCCAGCATGGTGGGAGCAGCCTGATCAAGACATGGAAAACACAGGAGTCCTCACATCTGAGGCAGTAAGAGTTTTCCTAGGAAACAATGGGGTTTGTTCTAGTCTCCTCTTTCAGTATCTTTAACCTTCTTCCTTCCTTTAGCAGGAGACTGTCCATACCACTTCTCTTCTGAGTTAGTGGAACCCAAGAGGACTCCTGGTCTCCTTGCAACATTAGGTTTCCTTCAGAAGTTTCTAGCTGCTCAGAAGAACTCTTCTGCATCTCTTTCACCTCCAGAATATGTTGCAGCCTAAACAGCCCCATACTTCCCCATCTTTCCTGGGGTTTCTTCAGCCTCCTCACACTACCCTTCACCATGTCCACCTTCGTATTTCCATATCTCCAGGGTGTAGGGCCCTCATGCACCCAAGATCTTAACAAGCTTGTAGTCTCTTTCCCAATGTTTCTCTACAGCTGGTCCTACTTTAAAGTTACACAGCCTTTCTTGGTCATGGGCTCCATCTGGTTATTAAAACAACCCTACAGAATTATCCTCAATAGAGTTGTATCCCTCATAAAAAGTAAAAGCAGACAAAAGTTATGCCTTACAAACCCAGAAGATATCATTATACCACCCGCATAACCCACACCTTACCAGCCTCATTCCCTAACTCATGAAATTACCACTAATTACGAGTTAAGCAAGAGTGTAGCTTCTAGAAGGCTTGTGGCTTGACTTTTGTAACTGCACACTCCCTCTCCCACAGAGACTTTCATTCTAATCAGTACAGAGCCACGAATAAAATCAGTTCATACCAAGTCCCATGAAGAACGGTATATCAAAGTGTTTTTTAGCAAATATAATAGTGAAATTCCATTTCTATGAGGGAAGAAAAAAAAACACATTCTTTTCTTGTCTGTGATAATTCTAGACTTACCACTTTGACTTTGGTTAGACTTACCTCCTGCTTTATTCTGGAGAGACAATTCATGCCAGGAATGAATCCGAGTATTCATAAGCAAAGCAGGGTCCTTCTTGTTGAAGGGCATTTCTATAGATGTAAAACACACAACACTAACAAGAAAAGCTATGTGTCATAGCCAGATATGAGCAGAGAGATTTAGATGAAAAACAAAAAAATTTTGTTGAGCTCAGTATGCTCCTATAAATTAAAAATTAACTTCTGTCCTAAATACAGATTAAAATGGCTTTTTCAGCAAAAGGCAGACTATTTCCTGAATTTTTTAACAACAGCAGTTTCCCAAGGAAGAAATGCTCATATTGATTTCATCTGAGTAAACTGCTCTGTTCTGAAATTTCCCCTTCTTTTTATTTTCCAGGAAGGCAAGGAGTTTGGTTCTAGGTTGATAGGAGTAAGCTCTTGACAGTACACAGGTGAACTATTTGCCTATGCCAAGGGTTACCCAGCTCCCCAGAGCTGAGCACAATGTTGGAGGCAGCACTGCAAAAAGCACCAGAGATGGGCAGCTTCCAGAAAGCACCTTAAAAAAATTACTCCTCCTAGCAGCATACTGGTTTATAACATTGAGTGCTGGACTCCTGACTGCATTCTTGTTTTTTAAAACACTTAAAAGCAACAGTGAAGATGAATTACCAAGCCTATGGGTTAACTAGAAAATTATAATATCATTAATTAGAACAACAGAAATTTAAACTGTTGTGACTGCCATAATCTGTGATCGCAGTAGACGAAGCTTTGTGCCTCACTGTCAAATCACAGCCTAACAGCTACATAATTAAGAATAAAATTATATTAAAAACTATATATAAAGCATTTCCCTACAGAACATAGTTCAGAAACATAATAAGCTAACAGAAATATCATTAGAAGGTTTAAGTACATGCACATCTTTTAAAAAAAAGAAGTAAAATACACCTTAGAAATCCTTCCCACTGTTAAGAAGTTTAACTTGATAAGTTACAGAATTGTTTTCCACATAAATTAAGAATGTAATTGACATTCAAATAGCTAAAGATGTCAACTAATTGCGAGTAACAGCGTTACCGAAAATCAAAATGTGAGGAAAAGAAGTTGCACATTCAGCAGTTTGCAGTTGCAGCAAAGGAAAGTAAGATAAACCTCTCTTGAAAAGCTGTTAGAAAGGGATAAGAGAAAAAAAATCTGTTACCTCCCCTCATTTTTTCCTGATTCTCCTATAAATCCAGAAGTGGAACCCCACTGACATGAATCATCTGAAATAACAGCCATCACCCCTCCAAAGGGTTGGTGACATGTGAGAAGCAATGCTTACATTAATGTGTCTTAACAAAAAGTTGGAATTATAAATTGTTTTCTTGTAATAGTCTGTTTATTACTGTTCCTCTATTCTCTGCAGTTTCTGGTCAAGCATGGTCCTTCTACTGCTTAGGTTTCTATGACCCCTAAGAACACATAATGTGAGGAACCCACTAGATTCATATATATCTTACTGGTGACTTAAAAAGAAGCAGATAAAAACGACAAGAAACTAAAGATGAAAACCAGAGTAGAGAAGGAATTTTTCTATTTTAGGCTCAGCTCAACCACCTGGTAAAAAAAAATAGTCAAAAAAATTTGCCACAAGAACTTCACGTTTCTATTTCCTACAAGACTTGCATGGGAGCAATTAGTTTAAAGCATGTGTCTCTATACAGCACAATTCAAACAGCACAGAACACTGAAGCTGAGAGCTAGCTTGCCCTTCAGAAGACATGCCAAAACCTCATAGTTAATTTCTTGGCATTCTTTTCCTTGTCTGAAGACAAGGTGAACTGCAAGAAGAATTGTGTTTATATGTTGCATTTTTATTAAAGTAGGTTTGCAAACCCACAGAGAACAGAAGTAGCAAGGAGTGCACTTTCAGTAATAAACCAGACACATCCAGGATACAGGGTTAATCTAAAAGACAATCTGTAAATGAAATTGTATTCATATTAATTCAGGAAAAGGTAATGCAGGACTGTGCTGCTTCAAATGAAAATTAGTGATCTCTCAAGTAAAGAAATATTCTGCAAATCCTACATCATACATTTTTAGGACATCTGGAGATTCTTTGTTCTTTTCAATTCCCACTTCTCTCTTAAAGACATTATTAAAGTGTCAAATAAAAATTGCTGGCAAGCCCTAAGTATTTCAAAACAGGTTGTATTATCATATATGATAATATCTTGCTAGGGTGTGAGAAGACTAAAAACAATATATGGAAAACCAGTCAAATCATAAAAGTCAATATAAAGTGAAATAAAAATAGGAAAATTACTCTCTTTGCTCATTTGTAGCATCCAGACAAGTTCACATTGCCCAGAGGAAATCGCAGGAGCCTCCTTGTACTGAACAAAGCACCAAAGAATACCCTCAGAGGAAAGAACAATCATGAACTGAAAGGAAGATAAACAGATGCCCAAGGGAAAAAAAGTCCAGGTCTGAGTTTTTGTTAACTTTTATGACAACTCCCAAAATATGAGCATCCATGACTTGGAAAAAAAAAATAAAATAATTGGAAAAAAATAAATGAAGCTGCCGATCAACTTCCCAGATTTCGTAAGGTTTTTAAGTAGTTGATATGTTTCTGCTGCTATGTTTCACCCACTGGTCCTTTAAATCATTTCAACACCAGCATGACTCTATTGAAACCAGCAGGGTTACAACATAACAGAGCAGAGAATTAGGCCCACTAGTGTGATTTCTGGTTGCTAGACTGAAGGAAAAACAACTTTGAGCGTCACATAAGTTCTTTTAATCACTACATGGGATGAGCTAATCCAAAAGACATTAGGCAATTACCTACCGTACTTGGAGGACATCAAGTGAACTGGATTTCTTTTTTTTCCAGCCTGGGACATTACTGAACTAGCACAACAAATAGTCTTGGCATCGTAAATCTCTGAAGACTCTTGTAATCCCACAGATGTTATTAGCAAATTAGCAGAATGAGAAATCAGGATGAACCAGTGGGTCATCTCGCCTCCCCTTTCACCAGCAAATTTCAACCATTCCTTGAGGCCAGTAACTTGTGTGTGATTAAAGCATTCCCTGTGTTTCAGTTTGAGCATATTTTCCCAAATGATAAACAGATCTGAAGGCTTTGAAATAAATCCACTATTTCCCCAGTGGTAAACTTCGTGTTTGAAATAATTATTTCCTAAAAAATTATATAAAAATACAGGCTTTCCATGAACATCAGTACATAGTGCAAAGATGTATGTGGAAAATATGTAACATCACAGATGACTGTTGCATCTGCCATTAATAGAAATTCAAGCCAGTAACATCTAGAAAAACTTAACAAATGGATTTTACTCTTAGCAAGCGATGTTCTGATGGAGGTGGGGCTCAAGATGTCTTCTCAGGACAGCACCAGGAGGCTTCCAGAACTGCAATAGCAAAAAAATCCCTATTCTACTACCATTCTCTGAAGAAACATCTCACTTCCAGGCAAAGTAACTCTCTGCAGCTGCTTGGGCTTCATGACACTAAACAGTAACTCGCAGTTCCCAGAATTAAGTCATTTGCTACAGCTGCTAACAGCCATTTGCAGGAATAGCCTGAGATAGCCCCAGCTTTTAAATTTGTATGTGGAGGTTGTATCATTATGTTGCTTGATTCAATTGTTCCTAAAAATAAGAATTTACTCTTTACTATTTAACCCACTATCTACCTAAAGACACTGTTAGTCCAAATGACAATAGATTTCTGTGTTTTTTCCTTTTTCCAGGCACTCTGTCTCCAGACATCAGAAACTGCAGCTGAAGATACTGAAATTTTTCAACTAGCAGTGCATTTCCAGTGCCCTGCAACTCATTTGAAAAGGCTGGGGTATCTTTTTCTCCAGAATAGAGAATATAAAGTTTTTACATGTTTGACACAACTGCTTACATTTCATAAACTCCATTATGGAGAAGTTGTACTGCTAACAAAGACTGTGACAGAAAGGTAGGAGATGGCCACTGTCCACAGTTTATCTGAACACTTACTGAACAAAGACAGGTTTCTCTTCTTCAGTTTGCACTTAATTATTGTGTAAGGCAATATCACAATATCCTTTGCATTACCCCAAAACTCGCTGGAGACTCTACAGGGAGATCTGAGGATTTGTGGCCATGGGGATGGTGACAAGTGGCTGAATGGGACTCACAACTCTAAACTACTTGGCAAACCCTACTCCTCAAATTCTGATAACAGTCATAATGCCACTATGCTCAGTTTTGACTAAACACTGTATGAGACTATATAAAAGATCATCTAAGGTTTTGCCAGGATTAAAGCAAACATTCTGAAAAGGTTTTAAGTAACCAACTCACACAGCCTTTTGTACAATCCACATTCATTTAAAGTCCCAGGAAAGAAATTCAACCTCAAATTTGCCATATCTGCTTTGTTGAATAATGTGGGTTTAGGAAGGTCTAGAGAAAAAATTACCACCAAAAACCAGCTCAGATAATACTGGTATTTCACAAGTGTTTGCAATGCAAATGCACGTGCCCACGTTTGATACTTCTGACCAAGAAGTGTGAGAAGACAGATCTCATGTATAATCATATTTAAAAGCTGGGTCCTGGCTTGTTACCTTCTGAGAAAATCCCACACAGACAGCCACTGTTGGCTCCTTCTGTGAGTCAAGGATGGACCCAGCAGTGGCTGCCCATGCAGGACACCTTTATATTTGATAGATCTAGAAATAGAGAAGGCCTTTAGGAACTCTTCCTTCTCTCTCCCCAATATTCAGCCATGGAAACAGCTGTAATTGGGAAGGAGAGGCTCCGTTTCCTGGAAGATGGTTAATCATGGTGGTTTTTGGAAGATAATTATGAAGGAACTGATGACATTATTAAACTGTGCTAAGGGTCCTCTTATATTTTTGAAAGCTGAGAAGCTTTGGGGATCAGCATGGCTTTGGTGAGGTTTGTTGGGGCAGAAAATAGGCAACAGTAGAAGTCTGCTGGATTTGCAGCAGGCAGAGGTGGCAGCTGCCACCTGGGAAGGAAGCAAGGCCAGCTCAGCCCCTGCCTTGCCAAGCAGAGACCAAAAGCTTTATTGACTTTCTGACACAGTCCTTCTCATTCT